ACATGATGGACAACTCTTTTGCGCCATATTTGGCTTCGATTTGGTTGCATTATATTTATAAGGAAAGGTCCTTTTGGCTTAATCCTTTTACGTCATAATGTGCAATAGCTATAAATAAATATAATGTATGAATATAAATATATAATAATATATAGGTAAATAAATTTAAGCATATCGATTATAGCTTTTCAGTAAATAATTAGCACCTCTTAATTCACTAGAAAGTAGTTTTAAACAGTTCTTTCAACAGTTCAGTAGTCGTGAGATGGAGCACTTATGGAAGAAACTGAAACCCGAGTCTCGCGTACTGTACTGCCTTAAACCTTTTTTATCGAAATATTTTGTAGCATAAATAATTCATTCGTAGAAATAGATAAATAATAGTAACTGTTATAAAATAATGATAATTGGTGAAATTTTTGGCATCTCTTCATAACATCGTGAAAACCCGATTTAATTATTCAAAAAACGTACTTCCCCGACTCAACAAAAGCAATAAGTGATTGGAATACATTAAAGGCACAGTTCACGATAATTTTAAGGTACCCGTTTTTATTCGAAAAGCAGAAGTATGGATTGGAAATAGTTCATCGGTTGAGAAGAAAGCGAGAGAATTCGACGACTTCGAGAAAAATATGACTCCTCAAAATAGGGAAAATGGAGATTGGACGAGATTGCCATGACGGAATAACATGGAAGGGATATTCGGCCGAGGTTTCAGTTGTTGCACTTCCGCCAAGAGCTGACTACATCAATCCAAAACTGGCACAGAACTGTCTATCACTGTCGCTATGAGTCATGACAAGTTGTTACAATCTCCTATTGTGATCGCTGTAGCCTCTTCAGTAGCGATGAAACTCGTCCGAGGATACACACGGNCCGATCTTTGAGCCTTTATAACTCCCTAACAAGGCCGTTGTCCTACCTAATAGTGCCAGATATGGTATGCGCGGAGGCCTCAAATTCATCCTGTGGGGGAATCTCAGAAACCATTTTTATCGTGAACTGTGCCTTCAAGAATGACTCCAACTTCGTCAATCCCACTTGATACCATCATGAAAAAAGTCGTAGGTAAGACGTCGAAAACCCTCCTTATCTCTTAAGACATCTCTAGAGAGAGGTTTATTTTGCGAGAACAAAGCATGTACCGTATACTCACTTGTTGCGTCAAAAACGAAAGCATCTGCGGTCTCCGTAAGGTTCTCAGCATGTTCTTGAGGAACAAGAAGCGATTATAATAAACACGCATGGGAAAACCATGATATTGAGACAATAGTTCGAAAATGTTGAAAAACCCTCTTCTCTACACTGGCCCACAAAGCTATGGTGAGTGGCCTTCTTAGATTTAGCGATTCATGGGCATCCAGGAGGAGGAAGTTAATTCACTAGGAATATGGAGTTAATTGGTAGGATAGTAGCAAATTGTCTCTTCGACTCGGGATAGGGAGACTCTGCCGAAACCAAGCCCACTAAAGCTTATGAACAGACCTCGTGAAGAGTTTAGGATGCCATGCCATGGTTCATATGAAGCCGTACGGTGCTATTCTGCAGTTTAAACAACGAAGGAAAAGCAGGGTGAAAGTTTAAGCAGCATTGCTTTCTTTTTTGAATTTGCGATTCTCTGTTGCGGTAGGGGCACAGATCCTTCGTGGAATATGGCATCATTTCCGGACACGTCATGCGATTTGTGATGACCACTGGACCGAAAAGGTTACTAAGTAAACCTCTCGGAACGGCAGCTCGCGATGGTGAGATTTCCTCCGAATGCCGAACAAGAGAAATGAATTGTCCTGAGTTACTCAAGCTGTGTGGGATCACTGGACGACACTGACGACGACAGGACGGGACTGAAGTCCGCTAGAGCAAATCGATGAAAATAGGGACGACAGTTTATGCCATCATATCGCCGCATGAGGAGAGAAAATAAGTTATTCTAGAAAATCGTGATGATTATTTAGTTATTTATCACGAGGAATATCAAGTGCATAGCTGGCCACCCAAAATGACTACATCCATAAGACGAGTCAAGTATCCGCGTAATCACCACTGATAATAAAACCTATTAAGCCTTCCTAGGAATAGAGCTGCATTCGATCCTTGCTAATGGTGATTAAGCCGATAAAGAAAAGGCAGTGACGCAAGCACCAGGAACTTTATTGAACTACAATAAAGCAGCTCTATAGCAAAAAGGATTCCCAGAAAGCTTAGAGTGAGATCCCACTCTCAATTGGTCATATGCGAGAGTTTAAAACATGCGAAAAGAAAGGAAGAGTCTCTAAAAGCAAGGAAAATGAAAGGAAAGCCCAACACCGACAGCAATTCCTAGACGTCTGCAAGGGTAGACCGTGAACCCGGGCGGTAACTTTTGGAGTCTTCAGATTGGAGAACACAACTGCTTCATCCTTCATTTAGATGAATAAACAGTTAAACATTCTGGGTAAATAAAGAAAACAACTAAAATGGTACTTCAGAGGGATTGAGTGGTTATAAGTTCAAACAGAACCCAAGACAAAATCATCTATTACAATTGAAAAGCTAACTAATCCAATAGGTCGATCAACACAGCTTTGGCCCATTAGGTCCAACTGAGACATGGTATCAAAGACGAGTGGGAGCTTGGGTGAGTGTTAATTGCCTTCAATAATCAGTCATAATGCTTTCATCATAAGTATCGTTATTGCTGCGGCTTGAGCATGAGTTTGTGAGCAAGCTGGTAACCCTGGCAGGCAACGAACCCCATTGAGGTTTTCTAGTTCAATGAGAAGATCTGTGCAGATCCAGGAAACCTTTTTGCACAAAAAATCCGCCACTTGCTGTGGGGTGATTTTTGATTGTAAAAATTATCAACGTCACAGTACACGCTACCCACTTTAATTGTTCGGCAAATTTTTTTCTAGCATTTTTTTTTTGTTTTTGAAACAATTTGCCGGAAGTGTCTCGCCATGTACACCTAAGTGGTTGATCCGGTTACCAGGTTATCATGCTATGCTTGTTGGATAATTTCAGCATGAATTTCACAGTTTTTCGTAATTATCATTAGCATGAACTCTCGTTAACTAACCTATACAGAGCGGAATTATAGAAAGAGTATCACAAGAGAGCAAGAAGTGAGCCAAAATTCAACGAGAACGACTTGTCGGAAGCTGCATGTAATCTCGTCCAAATCTCTTAATCTCATCTTACGGCTCTTGACAAATTCTCTACGAAAAATCTTTGACGGTAAATCATGCAAATGACGGAAAGCACGCAACGTGGCGTGCCGAGTTTCCGTTACTTACAAGAATTTCTTCTAAAAGTTAATACTTACCATGAGAACATTGCGTCGCCTTGGTTTTCTTCAACATTCACTTCTTCAGGCTCCTCAGCCACCTGAATAGATTTGTGTGGGCGAAGTAATAACTAGTACAATTATGGAATATAGGCATTTCTTATAACCTTGTACTGATCTTCTCGCTTCGATTTGGGTGCACGATGACAACATGACAGCCAAGGCATCCAGATATGATTGGAAAGTGGTAAAGATGAGTCTCAAGTTGATGACCTCACCTAGGGGATTGATTAGGCTTATCAGCGACGAACGTGACGAAGGTGAAAGAGATTTGGCATCCGTTGCCGTGGTTACAAATCGTCGTCGTCGCCGTCGTCGTCCTAGCACCTCGCAGCAGCTATGGCATTTGGATGCTTGATTGCTCTGCAACTGAAGTCACTTTTAATGGGAAGGAAAATCCTATCAAGACTGGGATATATTGAAATAAAAGTTTAGTTGCTGAAGTAACTCTAGGCCGGCGACAGCAGAAAAATCCTAGTATCCGGATACAGTTTTCCTCGATTAAGCGGGTCCTACGTCAAGGTGGGTGGTCGTGATGCTGCCCAAAACCAAGTGAATTTGTTGGAATAGCTGAAAAAGATATATCGCCATGAATGTGGCACGCAACTGACTTCAGAATCCTGGAGCCGATCGATACGTTATAGCTTACTCAATAACTTTGGGCTGTGGTAAAGCTGTTGTGCGATCCGCCTAATCGAGGAAAGCTGTACCCAGATAATCAGAAGTTTTCTGCTAATGCCGTCCCATAGTTACTCCAACAAGCGACTTTTTTTTCCGATATACCCCAGGTCTAGTCGCCGTTTTCGTTTACACAAAACTTGACTTTGATTTGATTGGGTTACGTTTTCTCGAAGCAATTGAGTTAGTTTTTATTCTCAGCGTGATATGTAGCGCCTCCAGCTTATACCACAACCTAGGAAGAAGTTCCACCCTTTTCCACCATCTAATATAGCGTCTTCCGTACCATACGTCTTCTCAAATCACCCATTGGTCGCGAAATGCACATTATAGATATGACCCTGACCAGGGAGAGTGAAGAACTTCTCTCGAGTGGCCTAGTCTCTCCTTTTCTACGCCGTCTCAAACAGTAGGAAGGAATCAGCTATCATCCGCTCGGTTATCGACCTGCTCAAGCTAAACACCAACAACATCTCCATCCCTCGCCGTTCCGATTCTTGCAATCCAGTGGGCCAGTCTGCACTAGGGATCTTCTAATCTAAAGCCGATTGGTTCACTGAACAAGGACCCATCCACCTCGAGAGGAAACCTAACCCAATTCCTGACTTTTTCGGAAATGACCAGCTATGTTTACCTCCTTGAACGATATTCAGTTCACCGGTTTTTAATGTCAAGGCTTCACAACAATAAGTGCTTCAGTATTCTACCCACGCTTTGGGATCGCTGTACTATCTCGGTGAGTAGGAATGTATCACATCTGAAGCTGAGTCTCTCAAATAACTAACGGGCGACTCACTAACTCCTGCTGAGCCTCTGCGGTCCCATCGATTTCCAGCCATCCCAATCCAGTGAGATGAACTGAAAAGTTAACTTATCGTCTTCCTTCTTTGCCATTGAGCCCACACAACGAGCTCAGTTCTTTGACTGGGCTGTCTTGTATTGTTTCCAGCTCTTTTAGGTACTGCATTTCAGAGGTGAACCTCTCTGCACAGAACTACGAAGAGCAAATTTCTTCGTACGTGACTGTGCGAACCCTGAAAAAAGCTACCCACACCATGGGACACCCCTATACATCCTTGCAGCCGATATGGGGGCATTGTTCCGTCGATTAGGCGATATCGCGCACTTTCGTGAAGACTGTGATTCTTATCTATTTACCGGTGCAAACGATGCGAGAATCGCTTGCCGTACAGCCATTTTATTGTTTTATGCTAGCGCTATGGATCGATGACCGCTTAAGAGCAGGTGGTCCCACTAATCCATCTTTTGAAGAGGGAAATGGGCATTTGGATCAGTCAGGATCAATCACTTCATTGCACTTCTCCCCTCTTCACTGCGCTACGCCTATTCCGGCTATCGCAAACGATGGGAAAAACGGTTCATTAGCTTCCCTGTGTGACCCTTGGTATTAGTTTCACTAAATGGTGGATAAGTAAAGGAGCATCTTTCAAGGTAAAACCTGATTGGGTAGCTTTAATATTAGAAAAATCCGATCGAATTTATCAACTTAAAACAAGTAAAATTCGAAACAGGAGAAGTTTTATGCTGATGAATCTTTCGAAGCGACTGGAACGTTCCTCTCTCACCTCTGTCACATGCATATTCAATCAGCGCACCGACAAAAGCGTCCTTGACCATTCCAGTTGCACCACACCCCTAATGAAGCACCAAGTCTTTGGGCGCTGACCGATCCCATCTGAATGATGAATTCATTGATCAATCCCATCAAATGCGTCCCCGCATTCGGCTTCCGCTCAGATTCGCAGTGGCGTATAGACTGCGTGTGTGGCCTATCCAATGACTTGCAATGACCAGCCACTGTACAATAAAAAAGGAAAAATTAAAAAATTTTTTGTAAGTATTTGTTTATTATTTAAATGTAAGTGATTCGTTTCGCCTCTAAATCAGACGAATCACTTCGCTTTTCACCTACCCCCGAGGCTCGTCGGTGACTAGGGGTAGGTGAAAAAACAATAAAAATAAGTGACAAGTGGTGTGAATAAAAAAT